AATTAAGAGAAGGTACAACTTTAAGTTAATGGTATACAACCGTAATGGCTTTCAAATCTAATATTTGAAGTTGCTATCCCACTTTATGCACAGCTAACGCCCTTCAGTTAGATGTAGACGATGGAATCACGAAATAGAAAGTTCGAAATTACCCACAATGTTCGATTTTCTGTAAGCTGTAATGTCTTGAATTTGTCGCTGTTTGTGTGGGAAACTTCTCCGTTACAGACGTCGCGCGTGTCCAGCAGTATAAATAAAAATGGTTAAACTTTATACGTAGATCTACAGTGGGGACGTTGAGAAAGCCGTTCAGTTCGTATTTGACACGACAAAATATTACATCAGTATCACACACAAATTTTCATGTTGTTAATAAAACCACTCCGTTTAATTAGTACCAATGACAGCCTGAAAAAGGGAAAAGCAAAGCAAAGCAAAGTAGAAGCATCATAATTGTATTTTCTGAGAGCAATAATTGGATGTCGGCTACAAATACATTGCACATAAGAAATGACGTGAAAATAGTTACATTATTTTATTTATTTAGTGTTCTGTCTGACGACAGGTCCATATGAACAGGATCCTTCCATCCTTTTCTCGGACTGGGACCTGTTCATATACGTTCTTGGCAGATGATCCAGAAGTGGTTTGCCATTGCCTTCTTCTGTGTGTGAATAGAGTAATTGTTGGGATGCCACGGAGAAACCGGGGAAGCCCCCGGAGGAAAACTCCGTGTTGCCTAGACCACGGCCATGCCCAACACAAGTTATAAATTCGGGCACCGCCGGGAATCGAATCGAATCGAACCGCTAGACCACCGTGGCATTTTAGTTTACATTACATGACACGAAAATGAGAGACTACATAAAGGCGGATGTGTCATGCCGAAAGGACTGTCATTTCTCGTATTCTACGAACACTTTTTATGGCCCTGAACGAAAAATAAATCCGAGATGTGATGAAATGATATTTACGAGGTTTTAAACAGAACCTCATTTCATTACACAGGCTCACGTCACCTTTAGCTGAATTTTCTAATTAAATTTTGTAAAACAAAAATACATGTCTCCATGCAATCCAAGATGTTTTAGGGCATATGGCACAACCTGGATGACCAAGTGTAAGACTCAATCAATTCCTCCTGCGACACCGTACAAAAATTGTCTCGTGCTCTGACAAATTTGAACGCAACTGTCACTTACCGGGTCCTGGCAGGAACTGCTACAGAAAAGCTAAATTGTAATTTATATATATATATATATATCTTATAAGAATTAGCGGTGAGTTATGAAGTTCTAGCCGGTAGCCAGGAAGTGACAGCTTCATTGAACTTGATCAGTGAAGTAGTTTTACCTGCGGGCAGCTCCAGGTAATAAAAGATTTGGTTCTGCGGGCCGCCAGTTTCGCCACGGTCTCGCACAGCACGGGGTCCACAGAGCCAATCAGTGCTGTCGTACTCCTGTCAGTCAGAGCTTCCAGCAGCGCTGTCAGCCCTCCGAGCCTATCTTCACACACGGCTGATAAAAAACAAAAACAAGAACAAAAACAGTCCGCATGGTTTAAGCGAACGAAAAGCCAGATCGCTATGAAGACTTCTGTCTTCTGGGTTGTAGCGCCATGTAGTCTGGTAGAAGTTTACCGATTCCTCGCGCGTAGCTTACCCATCGCCCTAATGATGGAGGCAGCAAGTTCCTTTGAAACGTCGGTATACTTCCACCAGACTACAAGGTGCTACAACCTAGAAGACAGCCATCTTCAAACTCGCCGACAGGAGAACCTGTAATCCGACGCCAGATTTTTCGTTCGAAGCCCGTTCACGGAAGTTATAACTGGTCGGTTTTTCAAAGATGATCTTTGAACTGTGTATTCTATATTACGTAACACCGAATTGTGCTGACCTGTGTGAGTAACGAATCGGAAAGAAAGTTATCCGCCATTTTCACACCAGCACAAATAAATGTGAAATTAATTTAAGCACATTTTCCATTTATTTGTTGAAATATAAAGCAGTTGTACATAAGTGGCTTTATGACATGCACTTAAAAATTTAAATTTATTGAAATTAGAACACTTTTGTCCGTCTGTCATATATACTTCGAGAACTGAGTAGGGCCAATAAAACATCAAAACGGACCGAGAGTTTGGCACGTGTGGTCTGAAGAAAATAAATAATACCACGCAACTCTTCGTCAGAATAGTCGGTTTCCGGCCAGGGATACTTCTACAAGTTAGGAATAAACTAGTTTAGAAGTAAACAGATAAATCAGTACAGGTTTAGGTACATATGAGAATATGGCGTAACCATTATCTAAAAAACTTCGTAATATAATGATAAGTAACAAATAATATGGTAGAAAAGATGGAAGAGAGAAAGTAATATATTCGTAGCATTACCGTACTGCTTTTTATCACATGTGAATTTAAATTATTTTCGAATAACGTAAGCCACTGATTCTGAACTCAAGCCAGACAACGCACGACATTAGCTACACGTATTTCATGTTTTGATGCAAGGCTCACTCAGCTACCCCCAGCGACAACAAACCGAGCTATTTCACTTCATCATATTACTACGTTTCATTATTGTCTATGACGTCACATTACTGAAGTAACTTCAAAACAGCTTCTGAGAGCAATAACAGCGGTGCACGAGGTTATTTGTGGTTAAGAAAACGTTACTGAACTAGTGAAAGTAACACGAAGTTCTTTTAAACTGTCCTGAGTGAGTGCTTTTCCTCGTTTCATTACAACAGCTGTGCGGTTTTTACTTCTTTAATTTCCGACATCCTCGCGAAAAGTCTTCTGCCTCCAGGCAGATTAAAAGCGGGCCCAAATTAACCGATGAAACTGCGCAAGTGTCTATGATATCATTAAGACGCTACTCATGATAATTACTAGTAACTTAGCGATTATGGTAATTTACAATAATAAGAAAATTAATAACAATATATCGACCATCTCAGAGGACGTCAGCTTTTGAAGCGAAACCTGAAGTTTCAACACCGCTAATACCAAACCCCGCCAGTACATACGTCCCTTAGCCAGTTCTATCCACTCCCCATTCTGACAACATATCGCACAAAGATCCGCCATAATATTAACATCCCATCTCCTTTTTGGTCTTCCAATTTGCGCTTTCTAAGAGGTTTCCTCTCCAAAATTCTGTATGAATTTATTATCTTCGTCTCAGGGTTATGTTGTCGTCCCACCACAACCTCCTAAGTTTCACTACCCTAACAATATTAATAAAATCAATTTATAATATAGTAAAATCTTTGTAAAAAATTATTCACCCAGTGACACACTTTGAGGGTTCAGAGACATATGTACACTCAGTACAACGTTCGATGTTATTAAAACTGTCAAAAGTCATCGGACAAAAGTTGAAACAGTTTACTGACTGAAAACTCTGCATTGATTTGGGGACTTTGTTTTGAAGTCCTTGAATTAATTTAAGACTTATCTAATTTTTTGAATTTGCAAAACAAAGTCTATCGAGGGTTTGAATGTTTCAAAAGATGAAACCTGTCGACTGGCATGGCTTCCTGTCTATACGTTTACTTCAGTGACTGAATTTTAAGACCATACAGGAACACTTTTGCATTGGGCTAACAAGCGACGGGTCTATTGAACATCACTAGGGTACACAGCAGTAATGAGGAGTCCAGGTGGTGGTGGTGATGTCTGTCTGGTGAAATAATCACCTCTTCAACTCCATGATGCACGAGTTTACATCATCTCCAAAGCTGACACCCCTTCCACGTGACGTCTCATGTTAAACCATCACGTAAATTAATCAACTGCACGCACGTGAATCAATCAGAACAAATGTCAATATTAGCTGCCTCAAAACATGTACACTAGCCGTTTGCTCTGATTTGCACTTTCAGCAACGGATGCTGAAAATGGGAATGACCTACTATTTCCCTTAACAACGCGTGTGAAGCTAAATAGTGAGATAGACTTCATGTTGAGAACAGAAAAAAAAGACTGCTTTCAGAATTGGAGGGTATCTTTAAATACGTTAAATAAACTACCGTAGGCAGCCGACAAGGGGTGTTCGTCCGACTTGTGGGTTGGCGGATATCTAAAGCAAAGAAACTAGGCCCTAGGAGATACGCAGGGTCTCAGAATTGTTTGGATTATTAGTATGCCCATCAGTAGTAAAAGAACAACATGAATATAAGGGATACAGGATATGATCATGTATAATGGGTTCAAAATATAGACCGTCGTGCGGACCTGTAGGTAGATACCAACGTTTCGTAAGAACATGCTGCCTCCATATTCAGAGAACCTGAAGTCCACACGGCGATACTACCCAGGGAACGAACATCGACATCTTCACCGCTGTGAGAACTTCAAAGAGCGCCTTAAACCGAGCGACAATGTTTCCGGTATAATTCATTTCATGTACCTATCGTCACTTATGTAGTTTTCTTACGAACCTCAGATAACAAACTAGCCTACGTAGAATTCTGAGCGGAGTCACATCGTAAAGCAGAAAGTTGAGCGAACAAGTGCCACCCCAACTCCTAAAGACCTTCGCTTCTGCAGGAGAGTGACGTGGCAATTTGTAGATTGTTCCAATTACCATACCAGTGGATCGTATGTAAGCAACTAGGATCTGGTATTTAGGGCAACTCCTTGCTTCGGCAAGCGGAACCGGGATTGTTACCAGGGGCAATAAGAGAGAAGGAGA